GTAAATGAACAAAACAATTAATTTTAATAATATAATTTTGATTCAAATTACCTCACCGATGTTGATGACTAAGGCATTAGGGAGGTGCCTAATCTCCAACCATTGTCCCTTCCTTCTCAAATCAAAATCATCTTCAACTTTTATTTGCAAACCACCAATTTCATCTTGCACTAATACTGTGAGTAATCCCATATCAATATGGCGTGCTACACTTATCGTGAGATTTGGGTTAGGTCATGGTAGATAATAGTTCATGTTAACCACCTTTCTGCCAGTAAGTGCATCAATCCTTTGATCATCAAACGTTATTCTGAGATTTCCAATCAAAATTTCCAACAATTTCCTCACCATCTCTTTGGATCCAACATTGCTAATGCATCATGCCCACCTTGTGTTAGCCCTTGCATATGTACCATGTTGTCATTAAACTCCTCTACATAAATAGACCTAGCAATTATCCAAAAGTGTAGCTTCTTTTCATCCCCTCTATTTAAAAGATCTTTTGCCTAGTTTGCATAAATATGCTTAGCACAAAATTTGTGCTCAACTTTAAGAAAAATTGATCTAACAACTGCTAAAATGTACTATAAAATCATATAAGTTAATTAAAACTATACTTTTACATTTTAAAAGCTATAAGTATAAAAATAAGTAAAATATATACCATAAACTTATAAAAAATCAAATTACAAAAAATAAAATAATTTAAAACAATATGCTAGTATGAAATTAGAGTTTTACATCTAAAAAATCATATTACAAAAAAAAATAAAATAATTTAAAGTAATATGCTGGTATGAAAGTAGAGTTTTATATCTAAAAAATCAAATTACAAAAAAATAAAATAAAATAACTTACAATATGCTCGTCTGAAATAATTGCCAATCTTGTGCCATCCTTCTGTAAAATATCATATTTCGAGTGCCTTAGAATCCATGTCCATGACTCCTTATTTTCTTATTCCACCACAACCTAAGCAATGGGGTGCATTTGGTCATTTCCATCTCTCGCTATAGCTAATAGCAAAATCCCCTTACAAAGTCTTTGAGAAAACACCCATCAATCCCTATAATTGGCTTACAACCAACCAACCAGCCACGTTTTCATGCACCAATGCAAATAAACATCCTTTTGAAGTCTGAAATTAGATTAGTTAGATATTTAGTCACTTCAAAATGGATAGATGTGCCTAGATTACTTTCCTTTAGCAATTTAGCATAACCTCTCAACACCCTAAACTCATCTTTACACCTTCTAACTTTTGATGTAGTATCTTTTTTGCCCTTGCCATTTTGTCCTTCTTCATGATAGCATCACTCAATCTTACTAAACTTAATTAGCTCACTAATTCTAATCCCTAGTACAGTCCGAATTCTCATTTGTGAGGCTCAGCTAAAAACTTTGCAATGATTATTGGATTTGGCATATTTTTAAGGCAAATATGCTTTCTAACCAAAGCAACCACTTTAAAGCTACCATCCCTTTTTTGATAAGTTGTAAAAATATACCATGGACAATTTTCAGCAATGCATCTAACTCTTTGCTTATTAGGAACATATCTTAACCACGTAGGAGTAAATCCCTTGTATGAAGAGTACTTGGCAACAACTTTCTTGAATTGGATATAATTCTGAAATTTCATACCAAGCTCAAAATGTGGAACTGCACGAGTGGGTTCATAAACAGGACATGAGGTTTTCTACCTAACAACATCATCAATAGCAAAGAATTCATCACCATAATCTAATACATACTCCCCTAGATCATCATTGTCAATGCAATTTGAGACTCTCTCTCCTTTAGAACTAGCAATAGATGTATTGAAATCAGATAACTTATATTCATCATTGATATCTTCTGTAATCTCCTTTCCTTTGCCTTTATAAACCCTTATTGGTACCTCAAAAACATCATTAGAATCCAATAAGCAGCAATCAGAAACAACATGTGTTTACCTCCAAAAATCAACTTGTTTTCCATATGCATTTATCAATTCTTCATTATCTTTATCACTGAGAACATCTATTGCCACATAAAATCCATCTTTGATGCTTTAGTCTAGATTAGCATGATGTAAATTGACATTTAAGCTCTCAAGAAAACCAGAATTGGCAGCATCCATGTGGTCCCCATCTTCACTCATCTAATGGACATCAATTGATTCCTTGACTTGCTTTTCTTCATTATAACTTAATTGAGATATGTTAACAGCTTCATTAGCAATCACCATCAATTGTTGCATCACCATGATCATCCTCAATTGCATTACCAATCTCTTCATTATCATTCTCATCATCATCAATTTCAATAACATCATTAATAATGTTAGGTGCATCAAATAACATATGCCCAGGCCCATTGTGAATATAAACATTCACATTACCATGTTAAATTAAATGCTGTGTCATCTCTAATGCATCAACATCATTATGAATTTCAAATAATCCTTGCTCCAAAGCAATTCTTGGTATATTATAATATAATCTTGAAAAGTTTAACTTCAAATTATCTATTATAATGCCTCAAATTTCAAAGTAACTGATCTTGTCTTTATCAACATTTTGAACCATACCTATCCCCCCCAAATATTGTAAATTAGGGTCTTGGAGGAAAAATCCACCATAGAAAAATGTTAATGTTTTCTCACCCATTCTACATTGTAAATCAAATTCAACAACTCCAATTAATATACTCAAACCACCATCTTACACATAGTTATACAATGTAAAATTTTATTTTGAGAATAAATACAAAAACTACGAACTATGCATCCCATTAATTGAAAATATAAACAAATGTAAAAAATTTATGAAAAGCCAAGAGAAAGAGTAAAGGAATCACATAGCATAGCTTGAATTT